GATTTGACATGGTCCTTTTCGGCGGGACTCAACCGAAACGGATTTTGGCGAATTGGCGCGCTGTCACCCGTGTCAATATGGTGACGCAGCAGGTGAGTACAACCCAAATCGTATTTATTCCGACTAAAAACGTCGGAAAATTCCCGCAGTAGTGTTTTAAGTTGTTGACGCTCTGAATCTGACAGGTCCGTCGATCCCGCACAAAGCGCCTCGAGCCACCCTTCATCGCTGTCCGAATGCGGTCGCGGCGCAGGGACAACGCTGACGTGATTTGCGACGGGTTCCTCACATGGCACCGGCGTTGCGTGAGCAAGCACGGTCCCCTGTGGGACCACCACCGTCTGCGAGCCCACATTGAGGACCGCGATGAAGGGTTCACCGTCCCCTCTTACTATGGTCTGGGCCGGAAGTAAATGAGGTCCACTAACCCCGGCCCTAGACGGCCCCAGCAGAACCCCTTGGGCCCCAACACCCTTAGCGAAGGGCCGCCGAAGTTTCAAGGGAATCAACATTTGCGCCCCCGGAGGTACGCGCACCGTTCTCTCTACGAATGCCGGCACCGTCGCGAACGCCGTCCGAGTCGTAACAGGCGATGGCAGAAACGCCATGCGTCTGCCCGACGGGAGCTCAATACATCCCTGGTCGATCAATATCCTAATCGGCATTTTGGCCAGGAAGTCCGTCCCCAGCAGGCACGGAACCGCCAGCGAGGAGGAAACAAAAATCGGCCCAGACAATTTAATATCCCCAATACAAATTTGGGCACGAATTTGTCCGATGATGCCAAGTGAGCCCCCGTTAGCCGCATAGAATGGTACGTTAACAGGCATCAAAGGACGACTCCGGACAGGGAGAATATTGTAAATCAACTCCGAAATAATGGTCGCCGATGCTCCCGTATCGACCAGGATGCGCACTTCAACCCCGTCGATGTGCCCCACAACGGCCGACGACCCCGACGATGCGGCTACCACACGATCGGCCAGCACGGACCACTGGCCGGGTTCGATATGAGTACCCGGGGTGGTGCGTGATGGTGCGATGGTGCGCGATATCGGCCCCCCTCTCGTTGCGGTGTTTGAGTGCGTGACGGGTGTGTGCGTGGGCCAAACATGTGGGGTGCCGCGACTCGCCGGGTTATGATGGTGGAGCTTGTGATGAGGCCCGTCGTCCCGTTGAGGTGTCGTCCCGCGCTGTCGAGGAGCGCGGCACCCCGAGGCGACGTGGCCCCGGACGCCGCAGTTGAAACACCGCGGGAGCGCCGTTGGAGGAGACGGATGGTTGAAACGGCCCGGCCCGTCCCGGCCCGACCGTGCTCCTGTCGCCTGTTGCGGTCGGTGGTCGACGGCGTAGAGCTCCTCCGTCGGAATGGTGGCTGCAGCCACCGCACGCCCCGCCGATGCCCTGCTGGCTTTCCGCCGCAGTGACAGGAGGTTGGCGTGGAGGAGCCGCGCCGCCTGGAGCGATGTCATCTCCTCGTCCTCCCGGGCGACGACCGCGATGTCAAGGTCGTCTGCCAGGAGGAGGATCTTCTCCGTGACCATCGCGTCCACGCCGTCGTCGTCCATACGAGGGAAGGCCGACTTAGCCATCGCCAGGAGGCTCGTCCGATATGCTAGGGGCGACTCCTTCTCACCCCGCTTGCGGTCGTAAAATTGCTGTCGGCATTCAGCCGATGGTCCATAGACCCCGCCCAGCAGCTGTAGTGCCATCGGTAACGTAGACCGCTTCTCTCTCGGCGCCGATGTGAGGGCGGCGAGCGCGTCGCCGTCGAGGAGCGCCGGCAGCGCGCAGAGAGCCTCCTCATCGGACCATTTCGCCATCTCCTGATGGGCGAGGAAACGTCGGCGAAAACCGGCCCAGTCCCCCTCCGCGACGATGAACTCCTTCAGCGGGGGCAGTCTCTGATGAAGCGCAGCGGTCGTTGTGGACTCCCGCAGGCTGATGTCACCACCACTCGGCTGTGCGTCGGTGCGAACGGCCGATGGGATCGCCTGTCGCGCTTGTGATGACGTTGCAGCTTCAGCGACGGCGATGTCGGAGCGGATGTCTAGGCTGGCCACGCCCCGAACAGCTGTAGCGTCGATGGCGGGAATTTCAAATTCGGACTGCTCCGAAATGGCGGGAAGGCGCCCTGGTCGTTGGCTCGCCTCGCCCCGTGTTGGATCACCGGCCCCTAGTCGCGTGATGGTCTCCAGCGTGGCGGCAGCGGCATACAGCAGCTCCGCCAGCCTCCCGTGAGCCAGCCGTAACGCGTCTGGCTGCGGCCCCTCTTCATTTCGATGCCCCGGTAAGGAGGCGTCAGGCCCCGGCTGCACCTTGTCTTGTGGAGCCGTCTCGGGCTCGACGATCTCGGCAGTGTCTTCCTCCTGCGGTACTTTGGCCCGCGCTGTTTTCCGCGTGTCCATGTTCGAATTACTTCTGACACCAGTTGAAGTACCGGTGAAGACGCTTGACGCCGAGGTTGAGGCACACGTATATTTATTTCACAATACGACAGTGGGCATATACACACTCGAGGGGGTATCGGCCCCCTCACCCGTATAACTCGGGATACACCCCTAGCTAACTCTGTCCTAGCCCCGAATCCTCCACTAATGGGCTAGGGGAGGCTAACTGGCCCGACACTGGTAAGTCGGGCCCGGTACCCGGAGTTCCAGACCAGCTCTTACAAGAGCACCGGCTCTGGCTTTCGGGACCACGCCGCTGGCTCAGTCCTGTCCGGCCCTGAAAAGGACATCGAACTAGGGGAGTCCAGGGCTCTATCTAAGACGTCTTCAGTCTTCTTCCCTTAGCTTAAACATAACTGACTCGAGCCCTTTGAACATCCCCTTTTATACCCAACCCCTCCCTGAGGGGTGGGGCCCCGGGGGATCATAACGTTCGAACCAGCCCCCCCCAGGGTGTCTGGCTCGGACGTCGTAGAGGGCACCTCCTCGTGCACTTACGTAGCCCCGCCCACTGTGTTTGTTTTCCATAGGCTGCCATGCATAACGGGCCCTCTCTTTAACACCCCTACACTTTGCCCATCAATCAAGATTTTAGAGGCCCTCATCCTTCCAATCATCACCACCAACTTTCCTCCTTCATCTCACCAACATGGCTTTCGCCCTGCACACTCAACAACAACAGCTCTTGTCAACCTAACCACCCAAATTGCAAACAGTTTCAATGAGAAAAAGCCCCCATCCCGCACTATTGTTGCTTCCCTTGACCTTACAAAGGCTTTCGACACCGTTAACCACCTCACGCTCATCAACATCATCCAGGATTCTATGCTACCATCAGGCCTTGTTTGCTGGCTTACAAATTACATAAGGGACCACCAATCACGCACTCTCTTTCATGATATTCAATCCTCCTCACGAAACATTCATGCAGGAGTACCACAAGGTTCCATAATATCCCCAGCGCGGTTCAACGCCTACCTCCACGATCTACCAACTCCTCCAAAAGGAGTACAAGTAGTCAGCTATGCCGACGACATCACAGTTTACACTTCTAATCAAAATATACCCAAAATGGAAAACTCCATCAACTCCTATCTAAAACGGCTCAGTACTTTCCTAGCCAATAGATCGCTTCAACTCTCAACATCCAAATCAACAGTCACCCTTTTCACACCTGATCCTCATCAAGCCAACTGACATCCCAACGTCATAATAAACAACCAACGCCTCCCATTAGCAAAAACCCCAAAAATTATAGGTGTAACCTTTGACACCATGCTCAGCTTCGCTCACCACGGCAGAAACGTCCATGCAAAAGTTAACAAACAAAATAACATCTTACGAGCTTTAGCCGGCACATCTTGCGGTCAACAAAAGGAGACTTTACTCCTCACCTACAAATCCATTGGACGTCCCATAATCAATTATGCCAGTCCCATTGGTGCCCAAACGTCTCCTCTACAGTTTACCAAAAGTTCCAAACTGCCAAAAACCAAGCACTTCGCCTAGCCACAGGATGCCACCTCATGGCACCCATTGATCATCTCCACCAAGAAGCCAAAGTTCTTCCGATTCAAGAACACTGCAAGCTTCTCACCGATCAATATCTGGCTTCATGCCACTCGACAACGCATCCTTGCACAAAGCTACTCAAAGCCCCTGCACCTGCTAGTAAAATGAAATCCACCTTGCTTTCCTTCAGCTCTGCCAATGTGCAATCTACTTTAAACTGCTCTTCCACCAAATAGCACCACCAAATAAACGTTGAACCACTTGCACACCACTGCTGCCATGCACTGCCTAAATGCCTACAAACCCAATGTCGTGCTAAGGGGTTGGCCCCCACCCATAGCAGATGACGAAAAATACCTGACCCGGGCAACTTGCACAAAACTGGCTCAACTCCGTTCAAGTTACTACTCCATGCTAGCCGATAACCAAAATCAAATCGACCCAAACGCCCCAAACTGCTGCCCTTTGTGCCAAGCAACGCCAGAAGACGTCTCCCATTTTCTCAGTTGCCTAAAACGCAGACCAAAAATTAAATCGATTGATCTCTGGCTAACCCCTTCCAAAGTGGCGGCACAATGCCATCTATAAACAGAAAGTGCGAGGAAAACAACAGCAACAACCCCTACCACTACCCCAACCCCTATCACTACCCTAGGCCCTACCACTACCTCCATCACTACCCCTAACCCAACCCCTATCAATGCCCATACCCCTCTTTAACCTCTCCCGCCTGTTCTTCCGTCACCATCACTAACACCACCACTTGTAATAACAACCCCCACTTACTCTGTATTAATACGACTATCGTCTAACGTACAATTGCATGATCGTTGCGAAGCACCTTGGAACAGGGGCGCTTGGCATATTAATCTACATAATATGACAAGAGGAGAAGATGAGATTCTGGAGTCACCTCCACTAGAGTCACCTCCACCAGGCTGCCCCTCCGCGTCACTCTCCACTTGAAAGCCTTTGGCCCAAAATACCTCGCCACAAATCAAACGATAACAATCTAAAGTACGAGAATTCTTCACTCACAGAAATACTTGGCACGACGCGGAGCGGCCTGCAGCAACTTTGGCGGAGGATAATCCAGGATCTGAGAAAAATGGAAATGACACGTTGGTAATTATATCAGTTCGGAGAGTTCGGAGGCTCCCGTATTCACGGTTCAATATAAAGCATCAATGACCACTGTTTGAATCTCGCAAACAATGCGTCAGGCAGTCAATTAATTAAAAGTAAAATTAATGATAATAGGTTTTTCCCCTTTTGTCTGGCAACAAAACAGGTGTTAAGACGTTAAAACACCAAACTGACACCTTTAACAAGGAATCATGTCTACATTAACCACAATGCTTGTGGTCAGAATGCAAAAAAAAATACTCTGATAATATATGCATTGTCCTTGAAACTGATTGGTCCACACCAGAGACAGCTTTCTATTGAACCTCGTTTCAAACGGTGTTAGACCAGAGGACGCCAAAGGGCGTAAGCCCAAAAACAGTGCATTATTAGAGTAATGAGAGCTCGGGGTGAGCATCTACATCATGGGACCTCCTTTGCCTGTACCAAAATATGATAATAGGGTTTTCCCCTTTTTTTCTGGCAACAAAACAGGTGTTAAGATGTTAAAACACCAAACTGAATCCTCATTACTCTGATAGTGCATTGTCTTTGGGCTGTACGCCTTTTGGCGTCCTCTGGTCTCACACCGTTTGAGGCGAGGCTCAAAAGAAAGCTGTCTCTGGTGTGGACCAATCAGTTTCAAGGACAATGCATATATTTCGATTTAAAGCTTTCGTGACTGCAGGGATTCATCTTCTTGGTTCTTTCGGTAAAGTCACGTAGAGAAATAATAAAATAATACAAATAAAACATAATAAAATAATTCTCACGACGTTTCGGCCACAAAGCAAACAGCCGTCCTCAGGTGAAGAACAGGTCTGTCGGAAAGACAGCGTCTGAATGGGAACCACCAGGCTTGGCAGCATATATTTAAGCTGGGTTGGAGAGGGAAGGGGCGCCTTGACAAAGGAATTTGCATATCAAAAGGAATTTAGCATATTTATGGCAAATGCAGATATGGGATTAGTCACTACTTGTGGAATGCGTAGGAGGTGGGGGGGGTGGTTTCAAAGTCATATTATGCCCGTGCATTATGCAGTATGCAGGATTAGCAGCATCAAAGGGAGAAAGTACGGTTAGCAGTAATAGATGGAAGGAATTTTAATAGTAAGGAGCTGCAGCAGCTAAACCACCACGTAAAAAACTAAAATATAAACTAAATCAGTATCATTAATATACTAAATATACTCTCCAATAAGCTTAAAAAAGAGGGATGACATTGTCATCCTCTCAGCCGACAAAGGCAATGCCACTGTCATCATGGACAAAATAGAATACAACAACAAAATTCAAGAACTACTCAACGATGGCAGCTATACAAAAATAAAAAGAGACCCCACCAACAGCCTCGTCATTAACACCAACAAAATCATTTCTGATTCAACCGCATTAATTGATCAAACCAAACAGTTCTCGTTGAAACCTTCTGCAGCCAGGCCACCAAGATTATATGGCTTGCCAAAGATACATAAAGAAGATACACCCCTTCGTCCCATTGTCTCTACTATCAACTCCCCCACCTACAAACTGGCTCGTTTTTTGTCTGAAATCCTGCGGCCTTTCACTGGAAAAACCACCTCTGCGGTACTAAACTCTACTGACCTGGTATCGACAAACAAGGAAATTTCCCTGTCCCCAGACGACCTGCTTGTCAGTTTTGATGTGGTTTCCTTATTCACCAAAGTTCCTGTACCTGACACCATCGCAATCATTGAAGACTTGGTTCATCAAGGACTGAATACTGAGGTACCCCCCCTGGTGAGACACTGCTTAACCAATACATACTTCACCTGGAATGGAACTTTCTACAAACAAACTGAGGGCACCCCAATGGGCTCCCACCTATCTCCGGTTGTAGCCAACGTTTTCATGGAGAGATTTGAGATTGACGCCATCCAGACTGCCACTCTACGCCCGACCTTATGGAAGAGGTACGTAGATGACACTTTTGTCATCTGGCCACATGGCCGGCCTGCTCTAGACCAATTCCTCGACCACATCAATTCCATACACCCAGCCATCAGATTCACCATGGAAGTCGAAAAAGATGGCAAGCTACCCTTTTTGGATGTCCTAATTAAAAGGAGACCTGATGGTTCAATGAGCCACTCTGTCAACAGGAAAGCCACCCATACGGATGCTTACCTAAAACCGGATTTCCACCACCATCCATCCCAGAAGAATTCCCTCATCAAGACTCTACACCAGGGGTCCTCAAACTACGGCCCGCGGGCCACATGCGGCCCGCTGAGGACATTTATCCGGCCCATGGTCACTAATTGGGCTGCGCTTGTGAGCACTAATTGGGCTGCGCTGGTGAGCACTAATTGAGCTGCGGCGGTGGGCACTGATTGAGCTGCAGCGGTGGGCACTCATTGTGCCCACCGCACTGCGATCTGTGAACAAAACTGCAGGTGTCATTAACTTTTTAATGGCACCCGCACCAGTGTGAGCCTGGGGTAAAAGCGGAGTTCCCCAATCAGACTGCATTGATGGGCAGTGCAGTCTGTATGTCTCTGTGTGGGCAAAGTTATTGCTGGTATATTGTTTTTGTAGCGCTGTATATATATATGGGTATTTTACTAATAGCAATTTTGACTCCCTAGGAAACAATGATGTCAAGAAAGAGAAAAATTGACTCGGAGTGTAGGATATTCAAATAACAGTGGACTTATGATTACTTTTTCATGCAGTACAAGGAAAGAGCTGTGTGTCTGCTATGCCAGAATATAGTGTCTGTGTTCAAAGAATACAATTTACGTCGACACTATGAAACTCAACATAAAGATAAATATGATTGGTTGGTCGGAGAAGTGAGAAAAGATAAAATATTAAACTGAAAAATACATTAACAACTCAGAAAAATACTTTTGTGAAGCAGAAGCAGCTAAATATTTCATCACTGCGAGCAAGTTTTCAAGTTGCCAAGCTAATAGCGTGCACTGGCAGACCATTCGTGGAGGGAGAATTTGTTAAAGAATGCCTTCTTTCTGTTGACAAAGAGATGTGTCCAGAGAAGGCCGATTTATTTAGTACAGTGAGTCTTTCAGGACCTACAATTACACGGAGGATTGAAGAAATGGGAGACAATTTGCATCAGCATTTGCAAAACTCCACAAAAACACTTTCCTATTTTTCCTTGGCACTCGACGAAAGCAATGATGTTCGTGATTCTGCACAACTTCTAATTTTTATTCGTGGGACGAATGACTATTTCAAAGTCACAGAAGAGCTTGCTGCACTGCAAAGCCTCAAAGGAACAACTACAGGAGAGGGTATCTATGAAAAGGTTTGCCAAACTGTGAATGGTTTGGAGCTGAACTGGGCTAAACTAGCCAGCGTGACAACTGATGGTGCTCCTAGCATGGTGGGGTCTAAGAAAGGAGTAATTGCTCGCATTAACCAAGAGATGGACAAACATAACCATTCTCATCCAATAGCCATACACTGCCTCATCCACCAACAAGCGCTGTGTAGTAAATCACTGAAGTGGGACTCTGTTATGAAAATTGTGGTATCTTGTGTTAACTTCATTAGAGCTCATGCACTAAACCACATACAATTTCAGGAATTTCTGTCTGAGCTAAATGTTGACTATGAAGATGTTCTGTACCACACAGAAGTCCGTTGGCTGAGTCGAGGGAGAGTTTTGAAACGTTTCTATGACTTACTTCCACAGATTACAGCTTTTCTGCTTTCAAAAAACAAAGAAGTACCAGAGCTCAATGATGCAGAATGGAAATGGCACCTTGCCTTTCTGACATATGTAACAGAGCTACTCAACAGTTTCAATGTGCAACTTCAAGGAAAGGGGAAGCTCCTCTGTGATATGCAATCACATGTCAAAGCATTTGAAGTAAAATTAGGCCTCCTCATCAAACAAGTGAAGGAGGAAAACTTCTGCCATCTCCCCACAACTCAAAATCTATTAGCGGAAAAACCATTGGTTGCATTCCCAAACAAAACATGTGTGGATTCACTGGAAAAATTGCAAAAGGAGTTCCAATTTAAATTTAAAGAGCTTCATCTCCATGAACAGGACATACAGCTTTTCCGTAACCCATTTTCTATTGACATTGAGAATGTGGATACAATTTACCAAATGGAACTGGCTGAACTGCAGAATTGTGACTCTCTGAAAGACGCATTCAAGTCAAGCAGCCTTCATAATTTCTATGCATCTCTCCCCTCTGAGACATATCCTCATCTCAGGAACCATGCACTCAAAATGGCAACCATCTTTGGCAGCACTTATGTCTGTGAACAGACTTTTTACAGAATGAAACATTTGAAATCTCCAACCAGATCTAGACTAACGGATGCACACTTGCATCACTTGTTACGACTAGCAGTGACAAATATGTAACCGGACATTGACCATCTCATTAGCCAAAAGCAGGCCCATAGTTCCCATTGAAATACTGGCAAGTTTGTTGATTTAACTTTACTTGTTCTTCATTTTAAATATTGTATTTTTCCCGTTTTGTTTCTTCACTTCAAAATAAGATATATGCAGTGTGCATAGGAATTTGTTCATAGTTTTTTTTAACTATAGTCCGGCCCTCCAACGGTCTGAGGGACAGTGAACTGGCCCTCTGTTTAAAAAGTTTGAGGACCCCTGCTCTACACCATAGAGCCCAATGCATCTCCGACCAGGAACACATTGCCAGTGAACTCAAGTACGTACGCCAAGCTCTTAAGGCTAATGGTTACTCCGACTACACAATCCGCAAAGCCATCACTCCAACCATCAAGAAGGATCCTGTTGAGGAGCCTTTCAAAACCATCACCTTACCCTACATTGCTGGGGTCACAAAAAAGATCTCCAAAATCCTGATTAAACGCAAGATCCAGGTCCGATTCAACACAGTACATAAAATCCGTGATCTGGTCCCGTCGGTAAAAGATGTGGTTCCAGATATACAGTACCCTGGCGTCTACAAACTAAGTTGCCTCTGTGGTACATAAAGC